CAGATTGACATTCACTGTCCCACTCAAATGTGCGAGATTTTTCCATGAGGCGAGTCAAGGGTGAAGCGATAGATGAGAATCCACGGATAAATCTCCTGTAGTAAGAGCAAAGACCGATAAAAGATCTAACATCGCTTACCGTCTTCGGTGTAGGCCATTGGTGAATCCTATCTATCTTGTCGGGGTCGGGCTTGATGCCTTTTGCGCTCACTACATGCCCAAGATATACTTCCGACTTCACTAGGTTGCATTTGCTGGGTTTTAGTTTTAGCCCTGCTTGGCCAAGACGATAGAGTACCTCATCGAGCCCCTCGAGATGCTCTTCAAAGGTGGAACCGAGAACGATGATATCGTCGAGGTAAAGGATTAAGTTTTTCCATTGCAATCCTTTCATGAGAAGCTCCATACCCCGCTCAAACGTGCTCGGGGCATTGCATAATCCAAACGGCATCGTGATGTACTCGTAATGTCCGCTTCTAGTGCTAAATGCCGTCTTCTGCTGGTCCTCCTCCTTTAGTTCTATTTGCCAGTATCCTGATTGTAAGTCTAAAGTGCTAAAGATTTTAGCACCTCCTATGGCAGTCAAGACAATCCTCTATACGGGGAAGTGGACAAGCATCTTTCGTCGTCACTTCATTTAATTTGCGATAATCCACGCATGGCCTTGTTGATCCATCTCGTTTCCTTACATACACCAGCGGGCTCGACCAGGCGCTCGTGGATTCGCGGATAACCCCTGATCGCAACTGTGTCTGAATTATCTCCTCCTCTTCTTCCACAAAAGCTCGAGGCGGGCGTCTTGGCCTCTGCTTAATGGGTGAGGCATTACCTGTGTCGATTGCATGCTGAACCAATGATGTTCGTCCTAAGTCATTTGGAGAAACTGCAAATGTCGATTTATGCTTATCGAGTAGCTCAGCTAATTTGTCCCTCTCATGTGTCGATGACAACTCTCCGCAGCTCCGATTATACAACGACTTTAAGTCTTCAGACCAATCCTCAAACCTAGGATTCCCTGATACAGAGCTACTTTTGACAACATTAATATTTCGAGGAAGAGGCTTAGCTCCGTCACCGCCTTCATGGTACACTTTGTCTATAAGCTGTAGGTTTGCGAGTTTGGTTCCGGCATGCACATGAATATCCACCCCAAGTGTGTTGGCTACGCGTACAGGCAAATCGATATCATTCCTATTGATATCGATCACGCAGCTGGCTACATGGATTGGTTGTAATGTTTCTCCGCTATTCATGGGTTCAATCAATCCGTATGGAAGATCGCCTTTTAGTTTAGCGACATTGGCACTGCCGGCGATGATGAATTCAGAGTTAGCAGGGATTATATATGACGTCACTCTTGGCTATCACATTACAGCTACAATCTCGCATTGAAACAAGCGATCATTCAAACGAAGCCCACGTCTAGGTTCAAGAATAAAGTTAAAGTGGTGCATGAAGTCAAATCCGAGAAGGCCCTCGTCACTTATATCAGCAACGAAGACATTCCACGTGAATGCCATGTCCTCTAGTGTGATGTCGAGATCAATCGTTCCATAGATATGTAGTATTTCATCATTCGCTGCTTGAAGTTGGATATCCTCTGTCGGCTCCTTAAGATGTTTACGCAAATCTATGTCTATACCGTTGTAAACTTGAGAGGAAATAACAGTCTCTGCTGCGCCCGAGTCGACCAAAAATTTAGCGTTTGCACCATGAACATTGGCTCCAATAAAAGCCGAAAGCCCTGTACTTTTGACGAGTTTAATTATTCTTGGTGCATTACTCACTGTCGTTTTATGGGCCGAAACCTGGTCGATTGGATCGGCCCCAGCTAGTTTCCCGCCTCGACATTATCCACGGATGGTAAGGGGTTGGCCTGCCGTTGATGCATAGGCTAGGGATGTTGTACATGATGTTGGTGCTGTGGTGGTGGTGGTGCTTGTGGTACCCACATTTGCTGCTGTGTCTTTGGCTGGGGCTGTGGCGGCACAAATTGTGGAGGTGCCCAGGCTTGTGGGACGATCGAATGGTTGTTGTTGATAGCGGCGGTTGTCATAACGAGGATTAGGGCAGTTCCTAGCTAAATGCCCCTCCCTATCACACTCGTAACATCTGTTGTGCATGGGTCTACCACCTCGAGGTTGACGCCCTCTGTCATCATTCTCTCGCCTACCTTGCCGTCCATCTCCCGTTGTATTGGCATCTCTCGAATTTCTTTCAGCCTGGTCCTTTAAAGCTTATCTGCCATAGTTTACAGGAGGGATTAGACCGCTCTGCAAGGTCACTGGACAGGTGGTTATCTCATCAACTCAGCTCTCAGTTAACATAAGAAAAAGAGGATCATGGGGGACCAATGGTCACCGATTAGGCATTGTTTGTTATATAGAGTGCTCAAGTAGCTACCAGTAGTGCAGTGGGCCTTTAATAGGGATGAGAGTGTGTGCAGTCTTTCGTCAATGGACATAACGCGACGTTCAAAATAAGCAAGCCGGCCTTCGGTAACGCTAACCGATTGCGAGGATGACAGGGCCCTAATCGGCCGGTAGCCATTGGGGCTATACTCTCCTCTCGCAGATTGAAATACCGCTCGGCTATCTCACGGGCCTCTTGCAGGGATTTAGGTTCGTGCATTCCCACTGTTAATGTCATGTTTTGGTCTCCGATCCCTCGTAGAAAATGTCTTGTGCTAATGGTTTCTATTGTGTCGACGTCGGCACTCGGATAACCGAAAGTTGTCAATCTTCTTACGTCGGCGGCATAATCGGCAATAGTCTCCTTCGGCCCAAGGCGCCTTGCCTCCAACTGGGAGACGAATGAGGCCGGTGTTTTCCTATTTTCGAATCGCTCATTTAGCGCCGCTACCAGGTTATCGAAGTCCCCTGTGAAGTCAGAGGAGAGTTGCTGGAAGGCGAAGTCTGCTGCATCACCTCGCAAGCAAGCCAGTATTCGAAATCGTTTTTCGTTTTTGTTCCATCCACACGCTTCTGCAATGTTCTGGAACGAAAAGATGAAGCTTTCCCACGGGCGTGTTCCATCAAAATGTTCCTGATGGAGTAGCTGAATAGCAGCCCTTGGTCGAGCGGGGCTGCGAATTTGAACCTCCTCTTCCAAATGTTGTGCATCTGTCCCGCTAGAGTTTTGAATTTGAAGTCGGGCTTCATCAAGCTCCAATTTGAGCTCCCTGATCTCCTGTTCTAAATCTGTTTTTCTCCGCCTCCTTGCCATCTCGATTAGCGTGTTGAAGTCCAAAATCCCACCGCTGCCACCAGTGTAGCGAAATTATATTACAAGTGTTTAATTCAGACTGCTCTCGTTCTCGCTCAATATCTCTCTCACTCACGCTTGTTATTAAAACAAATGCGACGGAAGAAATGGAGTAGTAGGATCGCGAGTTTCAGTTATATTCGTCGTTTTATTAATTCCAATAATGACAACTCGGGATACAGTCAGGTACAAAAAATTATGAAAACGCTTGCAGGTTTGGAAGGCGGCAGAAAGGAGTACGAGAATAAGTGTCAAGAAGTCTGAGTCAGATGTCTGAAGTGTAGGAAGTCTGAAGTCTGAACTCTCGAGATTTTAGATTCCCTGGCTTTATATAGGGTGCTAGATTTCTACTGTTTTGTAGCAGGCCAACCTTCCAGCAAGGACACAACCCGACCTCGAACAAAAGGGCAGACTCTGTCCTCATACCGAGGACAAAGTCTGGCCTCCGCTCGGGGTCAGTCGGGGGCAGCACGCGACTGAGTATCTGTCCTTGCCGTTACGTAAGACGAGGACAGATTCTCTAGACGAGCGTGGCCCTGGGCTTACGCAATCGAAATTCAAGAATTACTCGAGGACGAAAAACAACGTCGCAAATCTACTGAAGGACTAGTTTGACTTGCACAGCAAGCAATAATATACAGCGAAATAATAATGAGCTATGCACATGGTACAGACATATCTAAATTCGTTACAATAATAATAATAATGGGTTCTTGTATAGCGCTCATGTCAGTCAGATTTTACCCTCCTGGCGCTCTCGATTCCCTTATAAAAAAGTACTATGGTAACCATATGGTACCAGCATGGTACCTGTGGTACTCGTCTCTAACCATGGTACTACCATCAAAGAACCATGGTTTTACCATGGTTAAATGACAAGTACCATCGTATACCATGGTACTTCCAAATTTGTACCATGGTACTCTATGGTACCTGTGGTACTCGTCTCTAACCATGGTACTACCATGCAAGAACCATGGTATTACCACGGTTATATGACAAGTACCATGGTTTACCATGATACTTCCGAATTTGTACATGGTACATTGTGGTACTTAATTGGCAGTTGTATGTTTCTAACCATGGTTCAGTACCATATGTTGTGTTTGTTTTGTTTGTTTGATTGATTTAATTCTGCGCTCAAATAACAAATAGGAGGTTATACATGTTTACATAAGTATTACATAGATAATAATGTCTAATAATAATATACAATAACCTTTGTTAGTATACAATTAATGTGCAGGTATGAGTCGTTCGGTAGGAATCGTTTGCAATTTTTTAAAACAAAAACAACAACAAATTACCAAACGCATGAAATCATTTTTACCGGACGCATGAAATCAAATAACAAAACATATAAGAACTATAAAAAAAAAAAATAAGAATCATTAAGAACAAGATAGAAACAATTATGATTAAAAAATACATATAAAAACAATTGTTAAACAAATAATTAGAAGAATCATAAAAAACATGATTATTATGATTTTGTTATTTTATTATTAGAATTGTAGGGAAAAACTATATCGCGTGTATCCAGTAAAATTATGTAATTTCATAGGCCTTTAGTTTTCTAAGATTTTAGTTTAAATGAAAAACTGACAATTAAAAAGTAGGCCTGGCTATACAGCTAGGAATCTGACTAAAATTTAATATATGCATTAATGCAGTTTAAGACTTTTTATTACGGGAAAACAGGAGTGGAAAAGTCAACTTTCATTTGGCCATTTATCGTGTGTTAATGTAGAAATTGTGCAACAGCTTGAAATATCATAAAGAAGGTCTGCACAAGTTAAGACTATTACCTACAAGCTCCAACCCCACACAACCAGCGCATGCAGCTACAGCTACACAACCAAGGAGCAGCCATTCTGTGTGCCGAGGATCGCTGTACATACAGTGCAGTGTACGTGTATGCTGTGTACATGCTGTGTATGCTGTGTACATGATGTGTACATGCTGTGCTGTGTACATGCTGTGTATGCTGTGTGTGCTTGTGTACTGTGTACGTGCATGCAGCTACATCTACACAACCAAGGAGCAGCCATTTTATTTTGTGTGCCGAGGATCGCTGTACATGCAGTGCAGTGTACGTGTATGCTGTGTACATGCAGCAATATAGCTAGTACTAGTAGCCTACGTGCACTGTTCACAGTCCAGCTTCATGCCTCGTGTACATCTCGGTGTTTTAGATCTGCAAATTCATGCTGAATTCTGTTTTTCCCGGCTAATCTACAACAGTATGGGTAAGTTTAAGAATCATCTACTTTATTTACAATCTGTACATAGATCTAGTCGATGTCTAGATAGTTATTTATGACATTGTCAACTGGGACTTAAAATACCTTCGACAGGATAACAGTTAAGACTGAACATGTATGATCCCATGTACGTAATTTGTTGTAGTATCTTGACGGGTTTATGGGGCATATCATTCAAACTTTCAAAGCAAAGTTTATCCATTTACATAGGTCTACACATTGTTATTAACTTTACTGTTAGTATAAAGTGTCATATTGTTCGAAGGATTGAATGTTTTATTCTTTTTAGAAAATAAATAGAATATACTGCATAAAAATCCAGCAAATTAACAAATTAAGCTAATCGATGTCATGTCTGCCTCTGCTCTGTGACTGCATGTGTGATTTCATGTTGACAGTTGTTGATATTCATATTCGTTTTTTGTATTTAATTCAAAATTGTCTTTTTTTAAATTACAGATATATACGCAACATGACAAATGAGTAGTTTCCATATCGACTTCGTTCTTTCTCATCTTGACCAAAACATCAACGCCACCATCACCATTTCTTCGTCGTTAACCTCCGTTTTGGCGTTTGAACTTGAAGTTTGTTGCGAACTCTAATAATGAATTTGGACATTGGCATTATCGACTTTTGTTCTATCTTTGAACACCATCGACGTCGAACTTTGATTGAAGGTAAGAACCTCCTCTTTACCTTCTTCGTCTCTACGATTTGCGTTTCGTCGTTTGCAAGTCTGATCCTGACTCCGGCTAATGATGAATTTATCGACTTTCGATCTGTCTTCGATCACCGTCGACGTCGGAACTCTACACCAAGTTTCACCATCGCCATACATGGACTTCGCATACGATCGACATTGCAGACTCTTGGCTTTTATTCATCATTCATTTTTGAACTGTATTATGATTACCGACGTCATATATGATCTACCATAGCAAGTAGGCCTAGCTACCAATTGTTTCTTCAACCAAAATCAAGTACGACATCTTCGACGAATCTCGCACCTCCGCTGGAAGGACAGTTTGTAAATTGTACTATTGAATATAAGCGGCAGTCTTTCGCTATAGAAATAGACTAACCAATTTACTTATAATATTGCTGTGTGCTGAAAGTGTTTAGTGTCATATGCAATGTAACAAGCGGCAGTCTTTCGCTATAGAAATAGACTTCAGTTTTCGACTGTAAATTGTTTTATATATTTTACATTATATACATTATTGTGATGTCTTTTGTTTACAGATCATGTTTGCAAGAGTAGTGGCTGAACCTTGAGAAAATGGATAATTGTGCTGAAAGTGGACTTCATGCCAGCTCCTGTCATTTTTGTGTACTTTGCAGACCAGCATTTTCTTTCAAAGTAAAATGATCAAGGGCTGGCAGATATTATAAGGAATACTGTGCTGAAAGTGCTTAATTTAGGTAGTAGATTTGTAAATGATAACAAAAAATCAATCATGCAATGTAATCAATGCTTTCTTTTTATTAAGCTACATGCATAATGGAAAGGCGACTGGGAAAGTGCAGTAACATTATAGTACAAGTACCATGGTAACCTAGGTACAGGAGAACAATGGTAACGAAAGGTATGGGAGAACCATGGTAACCATGGTACCGAGAACCATGGTCATGTTACCAAGAACCATGGTAACCATGGTACCGAGAACGAAGGTAACCATGGTACCGAGAACCATGGTCATGGTACCGAGAACCATGGTAACCATGGTATCGAGAACCATGGTCATAGTACCAAGAACCATGGTAACCAGGGTACCGAGAACCATGGTAACCATGGTACCGAACACCACGGTAACACCGAACCATGGTTATCATACTTCGGTGTTACCATGGTTTTCAGTACCATGGTTACCATGGTTCTATGTCCAAATTACCATCCACCATGAGAACCATGGTAACCATGGTACTGAAACCATGGTTTTTACACGGTACATTTTTGTAAGGGTTATTACATTTAAATTTGCCGCATCGGAGGAGACGTATGCTCCTCACAACGAAAGTGCCAGCGGTATACATTATTTTCGTAATGAAACGAAATTGAATGCATTAGGACGTCTTTGTGAAGTGCCTCGATACAAACTATTTCATTTATCTGATAAGAATACAATTCAATCTATATTACTAATACCACTAATCGCCGCGGGGGGTCCAAACGGGTACAAAACGGTTCCTCAAAAACGTCTTTCCCCGACCCCGCCCGCCTCCGCCGTGGCGCGGGGAGGGCGGCACAATTCCACGAGGTCTGTCTCCCGTAACCCGCGTGCCACGTCGACCCCGCGATCGACGTCCATGCCGTTAAACGCGGTTTCGGGGTGCCGGGGAGGACGGGCGGGCGAGAGCACGGCGGGCGTCGTGGATTGCGAGGAGGCGACGAACCCGCGAGAGCGAGTCCGCAAGGCGTGCACCCGCCCTCTGTCTAATTATCAAAGAGAGACGAAGTGACACACGATGGACGAGAATCCACTCGCGTCAACGGGTGTAGCAAGTCTCATTGAAAAAGCTGCGGCGTATCCCGAGTAAGACCTCTTGCTATAGGGTTCGCTTTGTAGCATGTAAGAGAAATACACATTAACAGACGACTCACCCGGTGATGGGATGTAGCCAATATGTACGCTCAACGGGTTGAGCTTACCCGTGTTATGCGTCTTTCTATAGGATATGCTTTGTAGGCCAGGCGCCCAGTGTACGTGTATTACACGCTCTCAGGTCACACACATGCACACACCACAGTCGATTTGAGTCGAGGCGATTGCGACAACTGGCGCAAACCATGGACCTATTTTCACGTAAAATCTTTACTCTGAAAATAATTATACAAATTCTGTGATCTATGCCAACATAATCATAGTCCAAGCTTCTGTTTTATTGGTCTTTTCATGAAAACTACATCGAAATCACAACAAGAATAGCGCAAATAGATCTGTGATAGTACGCCTTCACGTGACAGTTCAGTTGCAAACTGCCTTGAGTCCACAGTGTATTGCCACGGCAGCTGAGCGCCGCTGTCGGCGGTGCTGTCGGCGGTGCTGTCGGAGCTGAGTGTGTGAGCATGGAGTAGCGGTGACCGGAGTAGCCAGGTCTGTCCGTGGGTGTAAGGAGAGTCTAAACAACACTTTGAAATTGCGTTTATTGCCCCGATTTCAATATAGTTTCGTGAATAGATGTATGAAACCTGGGCTTGGATTGTGATTATTCTGGCCATGTATAGTTGTATACTGAATTTTGATAATCATTTTTCACAAGAAAATCAGACGGTCGTCATGGTCGTTTAAAAACATGATAATACTTTTAGTATGATACAGTTCTTGCATCAAATCAATTTTTAAAGTATGGGGGGGGGGGGTCAGGTAACTCAAAGCGATATTGAGTGCAGGCGTGGTGTCCACGGGTACAAAGGGCTGAACCCCCGAAAGCTCGGGGGTTTTGGGCATTTAATTACGGTCAGATGAGCATATTTTTAATACCTTATTTGTGACACTGGCAGGTCGATCACTAATTGGCGTAGGGTCCATAGTAGAGTTGCGTACCAACTACGCTGAGCTGAGAGTATGCTGGCCTACGTTACCATACCCTAAGGAACGCAAAAAAGTACGCAAGATGGACGCAAACAATTTAATATGTTTAACAAAATTCGCGTACTTTCGGCGTAGAAACTTGACGCAAAAAGTGCGCCTTTTTTTACGTAACACTACGCTACTAAACTAAACAAACTGCATCTTTAAATGAATTAATGAAAAATTAGCCCAAGAAAAATGAGCCCCCGAAAGATAAAAAAGTAGCCCCCCAAAATTTTCCCAAAATTTGATATAGATCAAGTCCTTGAAAAAAAATCTTTCACTGGATTCTACGCTCACAGTCCCACACACAATCGAGTCAATTTGTGCACAAACTGTCCGATTTTTCGCGTACAATCTTTACTTTGAAAATAATTGTACACATTTTGTGAACAATGCCAACATAATCATAATCCAAGCCTCTGCATATGTAGTCTTTTCATGAAACTACATTGAAATCACAACATTAATAATGCAAATAAATCGTAATTATCGAGATCCTATCTGACATAGTTTGTTTTACGATGCGCCATTTATGGTCAAACAGCATATATTATACAAATTCTCTATATAAAGATAATCTAAAAAAAAATTGGATAGCACATATAGGCCTCTATCTATCTATCTATTTGGCCCCCTCCCCTAGAATCCCGTGGATTTTCCACGGGTCCTGCTAGTCTATATTACTAATACCACTAATCGCCGCGGGGGGTCCAAACGGGTACAAAACGGTTCCTCAAAAACGTCTTTCCCCGACCCCGCCCGCCTCCACCGTGGCGCGGGGAGGGCGGCACAATTCCACGAGGTCTGTCTCCCGTAACCCGCGTGCCACGTCGACCCCGCGATCGACGTCCACGCCGTTAAACGCGGTTTCGGGGTGCCGGGGAGGACGGGCGGACGAGAGCACGGCGGGCGTCGTGGATTGCGAGGAGGCGACGAACCCGCGAGAGCGAGTCGGCAAGGCGTGCACCCGCCCTCTGTCTAATTATCAAAGAGAGACGAAGAGACACACGATGGACGAGAATCCACTCGCGTCAACGGGCGTAGCAAGTCTCATTGAGAAAGCTGCGGCGTATCCCGAGTAAGACCTCTTGCTATAGGGTTCGATTTGTAGCATGTAAGAGAAATACACATCAACAGACGACTCACCCGGGTGAGGGATGTAGCCAATATGTATCCTCAACGGGTTGAGCTTACCCGTGCTATGCGTCTTTCTATAGGATATGCTTTGTAGGCTAGGCGGACCTGCTGTGTGTACGAACGTACGTGTATAATGTTTGCGATGATTCTACGCTCACCGTCACACGCACAGCTCAGTCGGTTCGACTCTGATTCTATGATGATTGCCGTGATTTGTATATAGTTTACGTGAATAGAGGTATGCAAGCAGGGTTACTTTGGTATTAATCTGTCCATGTTTACTGAATTTTGAAAATCATTCTTCAAAGTAAAGTTTTCACAAGAAATTCATCGTATCGTAACTGACAGTTCAGTTGCAAGCTAGCTGCCGTGAGGCACGGGCAGTGCAGTGCGCCACTGCTGCCGAGCACTGTCGGAACTGTGACTGTGTGTGAGGTGAGGTGAGGTGAGCTGAGCTATAGAGTAGACTCGACAACATTTTGAAATTGCTCTTATTGCCCCTATTTCAATATAGTTTCGTGACTATAGAGGTATGAAACCTGAGCTTAGATTGTGATTATTCTGTCCATGTATAGTTGTATTCTGAATTTCGATAATCATTTTTCAAAGTAAAGTTTCCACAGTGTATTGCCACCGCAGCTGAGCGCTGCCGTCGGAGCTGAGTGTGTGAGCATGGAGTAGCGGTAACCTGAGTAGCCAGGCCTGTCCGTGGTGTGAGGAGAGTCTAAACAACACTTTGAAATTGCTATTATTGCCCCGATTTCAATATAGTTTCGTGAATAGATGTATGAAACCTGGGCTTAGGTTGTGATTATTCTGGCCATGTATAGTTGTATACTGAATTTCGATAATCATTTTTCAAAGTAAAGTTTTCACAAGCAAAGTAAAGTTTTCACAAGAAAATCAGACGGTCGTCATGGTCGTTTAAAAACATGATAATACTTTTAGTATGATACAGTTCTTGCATCAAATCAATTTTTAAAGTATGGGGGGGGGGTCAGGTAACTCAAAGCGATTTGAGTGCAGGCGTGGTGTCCACGGGTACAAAGGGCTGAACCCCCGAAAGCTCGGGGGTTTTGGGCATTTAATTACGGTCAGATGAGCATATTTTTAATACCTTATTTGTGACACTGGCAGGTCGATCACTAATTGGCGTAGGGTCCATAGTAGAGTTGCGTACCAACTACGCTGAGCTGAGAGTACGCTGGCCTACGTTACCATACCCTGAGGAACGCAAAAAAGTACGCAAGATGGACGCAAACAATTTAATATGTTTAACAAAATTCGCGTACTTTCGGCGTAGAAACTTGACGCAGAAAGTACGCCTTTTTTTACGTTACGCTACTAAACTAAACAAACTGCATCTTTAAATGAATTAATGAAAAATTAGCCCAAGAAAAATGAGCCCCCGAAAGATAAAAAAGTAGCCCCCCCAAATTTTCCCAAAATTTGATATAGATCGAGTCCCCGAAAAAAAAATCTTTCACTGGATTCTACGCTCAC